TATTACTTTTATATCTTTTACATTGCTACTACTACTTGTATCATTATTGTTGCTAGTAGTGGCAGGAGTGATATTAGTAGCAGCATTATTATAATCGTTTTGTTATTGTTATTACTATTATTGTCGTTATTATTACAATTATTATTATCACCATCATTACTCCTACAGTCATTATCAAATATAACATTATCTTTAACACTGCCATTCCCAATATCATTTTGTTTTACAGATCGGCCCCGTCCCCAGCCCAGGCCCCGGCCGGGCACGTGCCCAGATACGAGCGACGTCATCGGCCCCTGCGTCATCACGGAGAGGAACTGCTTGTCGGACACTCAGTGCGCACCCGGCCAGAAGTGCTGTCCGATCGGCTGCGGCAGAGAGTGCCTGGCTGTAGGTGAGTACGAGGTGTCGCTGCGATTCGTTTGACTGAAACGTATTATTTAATGTTTTCGTTATGGAAGTTGTGCACTGCAGTTAGGCCGGGAATGTGTACCATGGACGTAGAACATCTGCATCAACGTGGTCCTTACTAGCTTGCCGCCATACTTGGGATGCTAAGAACATAAGTGCGACTGCCACTGTGAATAAAACGTCCAACCAGAAACTATATTTATGCTTGTAACTCTCATCATGCATATTTACTGTTTATTGAAAAATCTAGCACTGATCGATCTATGATTTATTTCCTGGTTCTAATCTCCTGCTTCGTTTCTAGGTCCTCCTTACGGAAACGGAAGAAGGTAAAAGGAGTAAAAAAAATGTCATGCTGATGTCATCGGTTCTCTGCGTCTTCCTGGAAAGGTTATTGAAGTGTGTTGATTTATTGCAAATAAAATTGATGTTTAAAACGTTTCTTTGCTGACCTTGTGTTGGAATTGTGATGGAATTTTAATGTTTTAAGTGGGTTATTTTTAGCTCGTTTGATATTCTTTATGTCTGATTCTTTTGTGACATTATTTGTACAGTTTCTCCTTGATCATTTAATAGTGTGGACACATACACACACACACACACACACACACACACACACACACACGTGATGACTGTGTTTCTAATACAGACACTGTATATCTGTAATGATTTTTTGCTTTCAAGATTATGCAATTTATACTAACATAACTAATGTAAAAAAAAAAAAAAATATATATATATATATATATATATATATATATATATATATATATATATATATATATACGCTCTAGAGCGTCATCTTATCTTGAAAAAGATCGTGCCAGTTATGCTCTCTCTCTCTCTTGTATCTTGTATTGGCTCTTTCTTATTTTCTCTCATTCGTTATTACTCTATCTCTCTTCCTTGCATTCGCTCTTTCTTATTTTCTGTCATACTTTCTCTCTCTCTCTCTCGCATTCTCTTTCATCTCTCATTCTTTCTTACTTACTTACTATTTCTTCCATTACTCACCTTTGTTTTTACTCATTTCGTCATTCTTATTTTTTTTCTTTTTCTCCCTTTCTCGCATTCGCTCCTCCTGATTTCTTTCTCACTCTTTCTGACTACCCCCTCTGTGTGTGTGTGAGTATGTGCACGCGCCCCAGATACAACTCACCGGCAGTGATCGCAATAAATGGGCTGTGAGGCGGGCTGTGGGGCCTTTCGGGAGGCCGACTGCACTGTTTCAGGATGGGAACGGAAGGTACTTGTCTTGCCTGCAACCTGGTAGCAATCTGGCAAAGCCCAAGGGTATCCCACAGGCGGTTGATGGGCATACAGCCTGCTGCCCCCTTATCTATGGGGTAACATGGGTGGGGGAGGCAGAGGTGGCAACGGCCTGAAGTTTAACCTCAGGCGAGCTATCTGGGAATGAGCTTGGAACATTTGGTCTTTAGAGCAGGAGAATTGATTACCCCTCCTATCGAGGGAAGTAGTTGGGAGTTAAGGTTGCTTCCCTCTCAGAGGTGAGAAGACCTGGCAGCTGCACAGTCAACATTGGTGGGCACACCTATTACTGGTCAGGCTGGGATGATGCTCACCATCTCCAGCAAGTAGCCATAGCCATCTCCAGCAACCTTTGGTAGTAGAAGTTTCTCGAGCTGATGAGTGTATTATGGCATTGAGAACGAAACATGCTTTTGGCTTCATCTCTTATTTTGTGTATGCTCCTACCAATATTTGCAAACTCGAGCAGGTGAAGTAGGCCTTTCCCTCTAGCCAACTGCAGAATCATACCCCTCGCTTTCTTAAATTTGGCAGCTTCCATCATCCCCTCGCCTTTCGTTACTTTCCTGTAAACAGAAGCATCGGGAAGTAAATTGTTCATTTTATGTGTATAATCAGTCATCCATAAACAACAACAAAGGTCTCATCGTCGCGGAGGCCCTTCAACGCGGTGACGTATCTGCGAGGGATCGCCGGGGGGCGTGACAACGCATCGGCCACACAGCATGCGGTAATCACTTGGATGAATCCTTTGTCGACATCACTGTCGGTCGAGTGGTGGCTCGAGGCAACGTAGTCGATAAGGTCCTTGTTGTCCTGCCCGGTGCTGAATTTGAGTCCAAGGGAGAGGGCTTCTATTTCCGTGTGGGTAAGACGTTTGGAAGACATGTTTCTAAGAAGATCTCTACGTCCAGCTTTTGACCATCTAATGTTACTGCATACGCAGTGTAATTTCTCCTGATGTTTGAGCTAGTTAAAGGACCAGCCCATGGGGAAGATGTTCGGCCTCGAGCTCGTTGCGTTCATATAGTCGATGTTGTAGGATCCTAATGGCCTCCGCAAGGAAGGCCCGAGCACTATCAGGGCTCAGAGGCTCGACGGATTTAAACTGGCTCGGAGCTGAAGGTGGCAACACTTGCTCAGCCAAGCAGGAAACAACGTCGATTCTTGACACTGGATCTTGCGTCTTGTGAAGAAATCCCGGGGAGGGGCAGGCCGCTCGCCACTCATACTGTGAGAAGGATGAACCCTATTCATGTTGACAAATATGGAATGGTATAAATGGGAACGAATATCTTCACAATACGAGATGTATTTGACCGGCTTCGAATACGTCGGCCGGACCATGTGTCCAGCCGACGACTACCCCGTCAGACTGACATGAGACCTATTGCTAGCTCATGCTATTCGAGCACTTAGCCCATGCGTGGTGGAAGACCAAGGAATCGTGGCTTGGGCAGCTCGACCAGACCTGTCGTGAAGAGCAAGAGATGGGCCGAGGACATGCGTGGCGACTTGCCGTGAAGGATCCCCGTGGCTGGAGGCGAAGGGCGGCCAAGGCGGTGCCCCCTTCTGCGTCGGGACGGAGCCGGACGGATTCTCGGACAGCCGAGGTAGATGCGGCCAGAGATGCCGTCGGAGGGGCTGCGGGAGGCAGCGCCTGGATGTAGGTGAGCCCGAGCTGTTGCCGCGTTTCGCTGAACTGAAAAAAATGTGTTATTTTTCTATATTTATGTTGTGTATACTCCAGCAAGTTCGGGAATGTTTGTATAAAAGGCATGCGCAGTACACTGTGCATGGAGAACATTTGTAAAGATATCAACATGGTCTTTCTCACTAGCTTGCCACCTTACTATGGAATTCTATAAATGTAATTCCCCCTGTGAATGAAACATCTGCAATCAATATCTTTCTGCCAGTATCTCTCGCCATGCATATTTATCATTTATAGAAGAATCTATTATAGATCGATCTATAATTTATTCCCTTGTTCTAATCTTCTGCCCCTGTTCTAGTTCCTTCGGAATATGAATTTAATAGGAGACAAAAATTCATCTGATGACGTCATCGCGAATTTCGGTTGGCCTCGAGTCTTCAAGGAAAAACCTGAAGAGTTGATTCATTGCAAATAACTGTGTTGTTTACGTTTCTTTCCAGACCTTGGGTTGGAATTGTGATGTAAATATAACCTGTTGACACAAACTGCAGTCTAAATCTGACCATTTATTTGACTATAATTCAGTTCTTGAATTCTGACACTGTAACGTTCTTCTAACATTATTCCTATTTAGCATAATCTCTATATGATGTTCTTATTTACTGTAATCATATTTTATAGCGTAATTCATATTTTCTACATTATCTGTTTGTCCAATGATATCATTCTTATTTCCTATAATAATCGTCTTATAATATTATTCTTATCTATTATGATCACTTTTTTTTTTTTTTTTTTTTTTTTGAGAAGAGGATCAGATGATTCTAAACTGGAATCAAGTTCCGTCCAGTCTCAGGGAATTAAAAAAAAAAAAAAAAAAACTGGCAACTCTGGTCTCCGAAGCGCTTCGATTCGCTCGATCGATCTTTCTCAAGAAAATGATTGATTCATTGCTGAAGGTGGAAAAACATAGAGCTGTATGGAAATATTAAAGATACAAAACATATTGTTTCTTTCCTTTCTTGCAATTGGAGATTCCATTTAATTGTCATCTGTTTTCGATTTGATTTTGTCTCGTCTGATATAAGAATTCAGCTTAGTACTTTTGCTTATCATGGCAACCTCTAGTTTTTCCAAGAGGAAGCAAAAATCCCAGGTGCCTTTAGATATCAAAGAATAGTGGATAAAAGTTTCCCATTCGCATGGATTTAATGAAGGTTTAAGCTATTCAAATCTAAATAAATCTTTAGGTTAATAATGTATGAGGTCTGATTTATTATCCTTTCCAGTCACTAAAGACGAAGAGACATAACAATTCCAACAAGGATATAACACGAGGAAAGAGGTCACAATACAAGATTTAACCGGTTTCGATTATATTTTCGTCAGAAACCGGTTAAATACATCGCTTGTATTGTGAAGATGTTCGTTCTCATTCATACCTTTCCACATTTGTTAACTCGTATATCTTTTTCCCTTTTCTCTTTCGCTGACCTTTCACTCTTTCTAAGAAAGTGTGAGAGAGAAAGAAAGGAAAAAATTTCCACACATATATATATGCATACGTATATATTATACACACATAGATAGATTGATAGATGTAAAGAGAAGGAGCGAGAGAGAGAGAGAGAATATATTTATATAGAAAGAAAATATACCAGAG